CCTCAGGCGGCGCCTCGGTTCCTGCCCGACCCCCGTGTCGTGTCCCCCCGGCGGCGGAGGGCAGCGGAGGGCGCCCAGCTCGCCTTCCCCGGCCGGCCTGTGGGCTTCTGTGTTTTCGTCCAGTTCGGGCTGCGGAAAACCGGCGAGGCGGGGCGGGGCGGCAGAGCACGGTCCGGGAGGGAAATCCGGGGGGAGCTGCCAAGGGCGGGAAAACGCCGAGAGGGGCGGGGGAGGCCCCTGAAAGCCCCCGAAGTGTCCCGCCTGTTAAAAGCCTTTTCGCACGCCAAGCCATTCAACACCGGCACGGCACCGCCTCTCCACGTAACACTTCTTCGTTAAACATGAACACGACAGGATTTTTATTTTTTGTTTTTTTCCTACCAACGCAAGGCTTGGCAATTCGTCAGCCCTCAGCCTGCGGGAGAAAGTTGTGTTTATTTCAAGTTATCTTCAGAGCAGAGCAGTAGAGCTCAGCCGTTGGGGAGCACAAGGCCCGTTGAATGGTCACTCCTAGTATTTGAAAAATCCTTCCCCAGAAGTTTGGCCTAGGGCTCCTGGCAGGTGATTGCTCATACATGTCATGTCTGTCACCTTTTCCTGTGATTTTGGTACTCACATCCTATAGCATAGACAGTATGAAGGAAAGTTCTAAAATAAAACCCACAGGGGTTTGAAATAAACACTTATGTTATCTTTGGTTGTTGCAGAATAATGGCTTTTCCCTTTTTGCCTTTTTTCCCCCCCAAGAATGCTTCTGTGAGGCACTGGAGGCAGGAGGCTCTGCTACACCCCACTCCCAGCTGCAGTGGAGTCCGTAGCCCTGAACTGCCTATGGTAAGATTAAGTTACAAACCTATGAACACTTTAGTAGTTTTCCAGTGTTTAAAAAACAGTTCTTTGATAGAAAGTTAATCCAAAGCCCATTTTAACAGTTCAATTTTTCTGGGCTTGTCTGTCCAGACAACACGAAAGTGATATTATCATACAGAATCGTCTAGGTTGGAAAAGACCTTGACGATCACCCAGTCCAACCATTATGTGATTTTATGAAAATGAGCTTGGGTGCCAGGTCTCCCACCCAGGCCATCTGAATGCGTCCACGCAGAGTCGCTCTCCACAACAGGCACCTCACGACCGTGAGCAGTGTGCTTGTCCATTCAGTCTCAATTACCTATCTGCTACTCGTGATGTATTTTTGTATTTAAAACAGATGCTTATTACAGAAGACACATTCTATAAACGATCCAGAATGTCAAAGGCACAAAAATATTACTCTAGGTCATAAACAGAGTAAAAATTTTTTAAACATAAATGCTTTACGAAATCTTTATTCCCTTCAGGAGGTTAAAAAAAATTGAAATGTTTACTTCATTCTTTAACGACATGCATATTCAAAGTAGCACGCACAGACATTTTCATGTTAAAGTGTACCATATTATATGAGGTGTAACCCAAATCTTAATACTTGCTGGTGATTTTCCTCTAGAAACAAAAGCACGAGGTTTTCAAAGCAGTTTTGTGCACATTGGACTCGATATACCCTTTCCTCCTTCTGCATGCTCTCCTTTAGAATGCATAAAGTCAGAATATGAATCTTTTATAGATGTAATAATCGTTCTGCTTTTATTTCTAAACCTGTCAGAGGCTTTTACATAAACATTTAGCAAAATACTCTCTGGAAAGTTAATTTAGCTTAGTACAAACGTAGATAAAAGCTCAAAATAGTGTTGTTTCATGTTAATCAGAAGTTTGAATAAAGCCAGAGAATTGCTTATTTTTCTCTTTCTTGCAATGCGTGATAATAACTCAGTACCATTTTTAGACTCTGTAAATTGAGTTAAATTGTTATGTTCTTTTCAGCCGAGCTTCTGCTGTCTGCTGCAGTGTAGAACACAGGAACCTTGCTACAAGAGCCAAGTCCAGGTATAAACTATATAGAGCTGTGGTTAAAAAACCAAGTCATTAGTGTTTGCCTGTACGCTGTTGATTTTTTCGCCATTACATCTGTGGGAGGATGCATTTACTGATCCTAAATCATAAACAGATTCCCCAAACTGGTCTGCGATAAAGGAGAGCTCCCTGAAAGATGAAAAGCCACACATCACTTTCGTAACAATGTAAAAGTCAAGGAATTCATAAATAACGTGAAAAGAGTTTTTCTTAAGCTCAAAGCTGATCTAATTTTTAAACTTTCTTTAGATTTTTTTGGTGTAAAATCTGCAAATTACAAACTTCCTAATTCAAATTAAAAAGCCCCTTTAGAATAAATGGGGATGTTTTCAAAAATTAAAAGCACAGATTTTCATATGCTTTTTAGGATGCCTACTGTTAAAACAGCAGTTGGTAACGATGTCCTGCAAAACATCATCTTTTGTTAAACAATGAGGAAATGAAGACTCTGTGCCATCAGTCTCTTGTGGTTTGTTATTGAAGTAGCAATATTTGGAAAATAATATACACAGACTGACTTAAGAAATGGATAACCGTTTCCTGTAGATGTTTATTCTACTTACAGTAACAAAAACCTGTGAAGTCCCATATTTTAATGTACAGTAATATATTTTGTCATATAAAATACAATTTACAGAAATTTCTATCAAGTAAACCTAAACAAACACACTTAACTTTTTGCATACTTTTATGTATGTCTTTAAATTAGAAACATCTCATTAAGAAAAAAATCTTACACCATAGTAGATGTTTGCATTTAATACCACCTCTCTGCATTTTGTTTACAGGTTCAGATACGAATGATCATTTCAGCCAGCAGGTCCTTGATGTATAAAGACTTCAAAGATGCACCAATACGAACTGTAAAATCTGTAGTGAGATACATGGCATACACGCTACTTGGAATGTAGTCTTCAAGATGAAAATGTTTATAGGAATCTAATTTTACATTTCCAAAACTATTTTATAAAAATATCAAAATATTTACCCAACTGTTAATTTACACAGTCAAATAAATTAGCAGGGTTTTATTTCATAGTTTAGAATTACAAACTTGAAGAATACATGAAAAGTAGCCATGTAATGTATTTCACAGTGAAAAACTTCCCTCTTGGATCACAACATGAAGTACCACCACTCTTCTTTTCCAGCTTAATGCAGTTACACTTTTTTCAGTGGAGAGTTTTATATACACTACCAGCCTAAGTAAGGTCTAACAAAAAAACAGTGGAACTTTTTTTTCAGGAGCAAAACACTTTTAGAATGAAAAGGACAACAAAACGGGAACATTTCTTAAAGTCTATGGCAAAATTCTGCAAAAACAAAACAAAACAAAACAAACAAATGCTCCACTAAATCAGTTCGAAGTAACAGATTCAGTGGCCTGTTTAACCAACTCATTCTTCTTTCCTTTGGTATACCAATTCATTTGTAGTCTTAGCCTTTTTCAAATAAATGTCTGATGTTTTAGTAAGTTTTGCTGGTTATAAAGGTGCTACTCTTGTATGTTCTTTAATTACAGATTTGTAAAAATTCAACATTTAAAACCCCTTAGCCTCATGAAAAAAAAACAAGTACGACTTGCTTCTTTGCTGGACACTTAACAGATGGATTCTGAAACACGAAATACCTGTATATAAAAAGGAAGATAGTGCACTTTAAGCTTATAACATTCTATTTTGAAATCCTCCATCAGTCACAAGTAATTAATAACACTGTTCTTCTGCAGCCTCTTCCTAAATACACGCGACCCTTCCGCTGTAAAATAAACAAGACAGCAAGTTTGGACTCCTTTTTTAAAGTGTGTGCTGTAGGAACAAAATATCACGTAAATGAGATGTAAAGGTATGGCTCCTAAAGTCTGGATTCTCTTATAAAATTACAATTCAAGTTACTGGAAAACATAACTTTATAATCTTAAAGAGCAATATGCTCTTCTTAGACTTTTTCCATTTCTGTACTGTAAATGGAAATTTTAAGATAAAGATGCAAGTAAAAAAAACCCAAAATTTCAGTACAGGTAACGCTGTGAATTTTTATAAGAAAAACATTATGCACAAAATGCAGCAAGTGAAAGTCCAGTATGTTCTTGCCCTTTATCTATTTTCATTCACAGTTGTTCAAAAATTGCTAATTCGTCAGTACTTTTTGTAAGGCTAGTATTACGACAGCATTTTTGTAAAGATGAGACTATACACTATATACAGAAGATGCTCAGTCCATGCTGTGTTTTAAAAGTTTATTTATGGAAAATAATGGTCTCAATTATATATCTATGACTGAATAGTAGAAGATGAAGCTTCTGTTTCCATTGGTTTCTGAGTTTCCTTCGGTGTTTCTGGCTTCGTCTCTTTACCAATTTCTCTACTCTTACTCCGATCTTTGCGATCTTTTCCTCTTTCTCTGTCACGATCGCGATCTCTCTCTCGATCTCTTTCTTTCTCCCTGCTTCGATCCCGGTCCCTGTCTTTCTCTCTGTCGCGATCTCTGTCTCTGCTTCTTGATCGCTCTCTGTCACGTCTTCTGTAGGATTCTCTGTCTCTGGTTCTTGCTCTCTCTCGGTCTCTGTTTCTTTCCCATTCTTTAGCCCGCTCTGAGTCCTTGTCTCTATCTTTGTTTTGGTTTCTGTCTCTATTTTTATCCCATTCCTTGTCTCTGTGTCTCTCCCAGTCCCTGTCTCTATTCCAGTTTCTGCCACGGTCTCTTTCCCAAGGTCTGCCATGCTCTCGGTCCCTTCGTCTTTCCTCAAAGGGTCTAC